CCAACCAGCCTCACTCCCCCGCTCTTACCCCATAGCCCTGCACATTCTTCCTTTTTGAAGTACCTATCTAATTCCATTTTGAAAGCTACTATCGAATCTGCTTCCACCAGCCTTTGAGGCAGTGTATTCCAGACCGTGTGACCACATTCCACTTAAACTATAAGAGTAATGGGTAGGACAAGGGTACATATCTGTTATACTGAGGGCTTATGTACAAGGGGTTGGAATGTACTGATTTGGAACCAGTGAGTATGAGACACAAGTTGGCAAGAGCCGAGGCTTGGGGACCCCAGTGTGCATTGGGATCGTTTAACCAGCTACACCAGCTAGCTTGCCATTGAGAGCACTATTTGGGAAGCTCGCCACTCTTTGTCTGGCTACGACCTCCCAGTCTGTCAGGGCTCTGGCTTGCAGGGTTAACAGGAGCTGAGTGAGAGCAACAACAACAACTTGCACTTATGTAGCGCCCTCCATGCAGGGTAGTGTCTCAGAGCGCTTAACGGTGACTATCTGCCTCTCCAAATCTCGACTGACTATTTCTGCCCCTCTCTCTTGCTTTCTCTCCGCTCTCACTCTGCTCCCTCTCCAGCCCTGTGCAGTACCTATTTCAGGTCCCTCACTAATTCTCGCTTCCAGCATGACACAGGTTCGTGAATAAACATGTTGCTCATTGAGATTCACGTGCTCGTATGTCAGACTTGCACCGCACTAACTTTAGTTCCTGATCTCAATGTACTATGGCTGGACAGGCTAAACCTGGTCACGCAAACATTAGGGCACTTGCCTGTAAATGTCTGAAGCACCCAAATCAAAGTCCCTCTTGAATCTGGTGCCATGATGCTCGTCAACTGTTATATTTGGCAAGTTCTATCCCTCAGGAACACGTCTGGACAAGAAACTCTCCCCAACACACAACACAGCTAAAGAACTCCCCGATAGCCTCTTCTGGCACTACTCCTATGCACCTAAACTGTTAGTATGCAAAGCCAGTTTGCAGAAGCATGAACTCTGCAATAATTCCGCAGCACAGAGGGGCTGCTGCCAACATCAGTCACTGCCTTTTCCCTGTGGTTCCCAGTGCATTGCCTACTGATGGATACTGACGATATGGTCAATAGCAGGTGCTACATCAGCTTTTACAGCTTGTGGGCAATGCAAATTATTTTCAAAGGCTTCACCTGTCTAAAAGTCCTGACGGGTAAGTGGTCCTAGCTGGACAAACAGCAGGAAAGCTTGTCAGATCGCGCACTCAACGACAGGCTATGTGGTTTTAGCTGGCTAGTCTTGGAACAGTTACCCCAGTGAACACTCTGGGGTCCCCAAGCCTTGGCTCTTGCCAACCTGCGCCTAATAGTTTTGGAATTAGGTAAGCAGGATGTGTCCTTCCAGAGAGAGAGAGAGAGCACATTCCCTCCCAACAATCTATATCTGGGATTTCCATGTATAGGTGGGATGCATGGAATTCTCAGTTTGGTTTGGATGCTCTCAAGCACGTTGATGGGTTTCCACATGTGTCAGACACCCGGGCAAAAAAAAATCTGTTAGACAAGCCTTTGATGCTATTCAAAACCTAGAATGCAGTAGATTTTCAAAACCTCTGATATCATCTTTCCAATCACCCTTGACAGACCTGTTTAAAGCCCCTTTAAGTTCACAACACTGGGAAGATTGCTCAGTACAGTGGCTTCAGTGTCCAGTGAGCTTTCAATGTGCCGAGGAAATGAAAGCAGGAGGCAGCTGGCCAGAAAAACTTATCTCAAGAAAGAACTCTAAAGCAGTAAATCCCTGGACATCAATTAAGATGAACATTGGGCTCTTGTGTGTAAATGTTTGGACAGTGAATGTATCCAGAAACCACTTGAGATAAGGGTCTCTCAGTGATGGGAAAGATACACAGTCAGGTCACAATGTTCACAACGGCTGTTGAGTTGTATTTTTCAGGGTTGGGCAGAGCCTGTGGTATTCCAGCAATGTCTGTTGCCGCCAGTTGTGGATTTGCCACCATGTGGCATTCCATTCCACAGACTCGAGACAATGGGTGTGATCTTCTCACGTCTACAAATCCCTTCACCCCCCGGCACCTCCCTACTTTCTGACCTGCTTTCTCCGCACTCCACTACCCACTGCCAACGCTCAGCTGGCTTTGGCCTCCTACTTGTCCCTCGTCAGCTCCCCTCCACCATCGGTGGCCCTGCTTTTAGCCAATGTGCTACAAAGCTTTGGACACTCTTCCCCCAATCTCTCCGCCTTGCCCACCCGACCTCCTTTGGATCACGACTGAAGATCTTGCTCTTCGACCGTACTTACGGATATCTCCTCCTTCTCTGTTAAGCAGTCCGAGACGTTGTCCCATGTCAAGGGCTCTATATAAATCAAGTTGTTGTTGTTGTTGTAAGCTGCTTTCTGGTCCCATCGGATTGCTTCTCTTGGGACAGCAAGAATTCTAAACTTTTGTCTTTTAAAAAAAATGTACGCGAAGAGGCGATGGTCTGAGCAGGAGAGAATGTCAGCTCAGGTTTGCGTGGTTGCAGTGCTGGGGAGGATAAACTTCCTGGCCTCAAACATCCCCCGGGAGAATCCTGTGCGGAGATGCTGTTTGCAGATGTGGCCCAGAGGCAGCCTATTTTTCTGAAGCAATAAAAGCGGATGCTTAAAATAATGGTGAAATTATATAAATCTGTTTTCTCAGAACTGGGCATGTGGCCCAGCTCAGCCTGTTACTGACTCTTAAAAGCTTTTCGAACTGCCCTCATGACTCTGCACTAAAACACAGTGTGTGTGGATAAGTGAGAGAGACAGCGTTTCGTAAATGTCACAGCTACTTCTAACTGTTAGAGACCAATCTTGGCTTCCCCAAGTAAAACATGCAGAGCACAACCCTGACTGTTGTGAGTTTCAGGTGAACATTCAAAGATCCCACAGCACTATTGGAAGAAAAGAGCAGGGAATTTCTCCTGTTGTCTTACCTCTAATTTCTCTCTCTCGCTCTCTCTCTCATCCGAATTCAACACAACTAATTGAAGTTGATCTTTCATCTCATTGCTGTGCATAACAACAACAACTTGGATTTATACGTATCCTTCACGATAGGGTAGCGTCCTTCACATCCCGGATCACTTTAGTGCATAAGTGACACAGATCAGCTTCTGCATGTGCAGCCTAACAGTTACTAAACTCATTGTTCTTGGAGCTGTTTGGACGTGAGCTTTAAGAGATGATTGCATCCAAGATGGCAATGTGATATCATGCAATAAGCAGTCAATAAGCCACCAGTGACTTCTCATTGCTTTTGTTAGTGTAGTTGGCAAGCGAGCGACTGAGCAAGTGTGTTCATGTGCTGCTGGCTTCATTGATGGGGATTGAGGGTTGGAGCCCGAGGTGATGCACAGCTGAGAAGCAACAAAACGTTTACAGCTGGAGAATAAACCCCCGGCTGAATTCCCACAATCTGGACATGTTGGGATATCAAATCCTCGCATTTGAACGCATTCTGCCCATCCATCCATTTGCAAATATGTTGAGCTTGTGTGGGAATGCTGCTGTGGATTAACAGTTCTTAAAACATCTTCAGTGTCTCCAGAGCCAGAAGAGTTTGCACAAGTTTCAAAATCCCCCGTGTTTGTCCTGGTGTTTATGCTGCAGTGATTGAATTATACGGATCAACTTGAGAAAGGCTGAATCCCATTCCAAACAGCCTCTTTTGGACTCTGATTTTAGCTTGGGATCGTGTTCTTCATCTATAAATACAGTCAGTGGCTATGTCGGCTCTGAAAGTGCTGGAGGCTAAGATTGTAATTCTGGGAGAGAAGCATTCGGTAGTGTTGTGGAGCAGGATTTATATTTCCCACCTCCCCTCACTTTCAATCGGACAGAGAAATATTCCCAGTTATTGGGTTGCGTGTGTTTGTGATTAGCTCTGTAATAACATTGCAAAATCGGTTCACCTTCCCAGATGGCTTACACAGCATTTCTCCACGACTATTTGTGGGACGCTGCTGTGCGCAATTGGCTGCCGCGTTTCGCCCACAAAATATAGAGTCGACCCACTTTACGGTGTATTCTGTGAAGCGCATTGAGACATCTCAACGACATGATGAGGGGATATATCAAGTGCAAGGATTATTATTGTCATCTCCGAACAACAACACTCGAGAGGCATTTTTGCAAGTCTCTTTTTTTCAAAAAACACAAGCATTTTTACCACAATATACAGTCGCTGGCACAGAGTCCCAACAGCTGGGAACCATTCGGACACAAGACAATTTGCCTTTTCTTTTCCTGAGACAAGGTCTTAGAGTCCGAATCTACCAGAGCAGATTCTATAACATAGAAATGCTCTGCTCGTGAGGTCACACTGCTTTTCTTCAAAGAGACAGTAGTGCGCAGTTAATGAGAGGCCCTTCAGAAAAGGTTAGGGCTCCTCTGGACAGTGAACTGAAGCTCTCTCTGTTGCCACAACAATACTGTGCCCAGCACTGCATTCATTAATTTCTGAGTTGAACAGGAATTGAGACACATTTTTTAAATTTTTGGGGCATTAGTGGTGTAGTGGGTGTGTGTAACTGGTTTCTGGATGAAGTTAAGAGAATCGCTGCTTTGACAAGTTCATGTGCGTGCATGTGCATGTGTGCGTGTGCGTGTGTGTCTCTATGTGTTTGTCTGGGTGTCTCTATGTGTCTGTGTGTGTCTCTGTTTATTGCTTCCTGCAGCAGTTACACTCATTTTATTGCACAGCTCGTGACCACAGCCAAGTGCTGACACATTGATGCACTGCCATCCTTTCATCTATAGCCCCATCTGCTGGATATGGGGTGAAGATTGATGTTTCACAACCGATTTCTGTATCAACATTTCTTAATGCACAACATTTGCTATGAAGTATCTTCATTTTGCACCTATTCTGATATGAACTGCACCCCTACATCTTGTGCCAAACTTAAGAAAAACTTTTTCAATTGTGATATTTCGCTATAATGACATTCCTCTTGATTCCGTTGCAGTGTACTACAGGGTGCTGGTCAACTTCACAAAGTCAATTGAATACGACGATGAATTGGAGGACTTCAACTCTGAGCGGTTCACGGAAGTGTCTGAAGCAATCATTGACACTGTGAGTATGGTTGGTTTAGTAACTGTTGTTGCACTGATGTCCAAACCCAGGGCATTAATTACTGCTAAAACTGAGAAAAGGAGGCATTTCCACACAGAGGGGTCAACTTGGCTCCTCTGGTTGCACTGGGTCAGAAGTTCGTGGGTTTAAACCCCACATTGGGACTTGGAGTTCACAGTCTAGGCTGACTGGCAGTCCAGTGCAGTGGTGGTGTGGGGTTTGGGAGGGGCGGGCGGGCTGGGGGTGGGGAGCGCTGCATTTACAGAGATGCTATCTCTTTGGGAACCAATCTTCCAAGTGCCATGACTAATCCCGACACTATTAGGAAACAGAATGGAGTTTCTCTATGCTGCCCTGCCCAACAATCCTCCAGTTAAATTGGCCATTGATGCCCGTTTTGTAGGACTGTGTGTAAAATGGCCGCTGTAGTTGTGTAATCAACAGTTACTGCACTCAACAGTAGTTACTATGAAGTGCTTAGAGGTTTTCAACGTGACAGGGAGCTATCAACATGCAAGTTCCTCTTCAAATTGGCCGCGGTGGAGGAAGTGTGGCTCACAAAGCAGTGCAAACAGAGGCCATTGTTGTTCTGTGATTTTCCTCAGTTCTGGTGCTCGGCACAAGCTTGGGTTCTGGTCCTTTTTTGCAGGTTTTTAGAAGGTGGTGTCACGGCCACAGTAATGAACCCCTCACTAAACGGCTCCCACCTCACAACAAACACTTGTCAGGTCTACTCTTGTGTTTGGTTGTAGTTAATAATAATACAATAATCCTTGCATTTGATATAGCGCCTTATCGCGTCTTCGAGATGTCTCAAAGCGCTTCACGGAATATACGGTAAAGTGAATTGACTGTATATTTGTGGTCATAGTTAAAGAGAAAAACTCCACCTGGGTCGAGATTTGCTCTGATCATGTAGCAATTCGGAGCGTCCAAAATATGACCAATTGTCGAAACGAGACGTCTCGTCTCAGGCTTGAGATGTCTCAACGACGTGATAGGGTGCTATATCAAGTGCAAGGATAATTATAATTCATTCTTAACTGTGACGTCGGTATCCTGTAGTTTCTTCATTTAATAATAATGACAATATAATAATCCTTGCATTTGATATAGCGCCCTATCACGTCTTCGAGATATCTCAATGCGCTTCACAGAATATACTGTAAAGTGATTTGACTGTATATTTTGTGGCCGAAATTTACATTTGAAAATATTAAAATTTACATTTAAGAAATCTAAATTTACTTACCAGAAATCTGGCTTAAAAGTTAAGGCTCCAACAAATAATTTGCTAATTCTGTCGCTCTTATAGATGCTACATAAATTGAGCAAATCTGGACTCGAGCAGAGATTTTTCCCCAAGTGTTTTTAAACCATATGAATATTAAACAAAGACTTCTCTTCTATTACAGCTGGAGTCGCAGTTCATCAGGATCCCAGGAGAACAAACAGTGACTGTAGTATTGATCGAGTGAGTGCCAATTTATCAATCTCTCACTGATCTGAAATGTCTACCAGGTCCCCTTATCTTTACCAGATATGAAGGGTTTCAGTTATGCAGAGACTGGAGAGGTTAGCGGTTTACTTACTATTACAACTGAGATTAAGGGGGTGAACTCCTAAAGATCTTCAAGATTATGAAGGATTATAACGGTAAGTTTGCTTCTCTCGGTCAGTGAATCAGTAAATGAGAGGGTCTGAGCCTATGAAGATGACAAAAGAGATTAAAGCAAAGAGGGAGATTAGAAGAAGAATCCTTACAGAGGGGTTGGATGGCTGGAATGTGGATTCTGTCACAATAAGCAACTCTTTTAAAAGGGAACCCTCAGCAGGTCAGGCAGCATCTATGGAGAGAAGCAAGTGGGTTAACATTTCAGTTCGAGACGAAAGGTCATCGACCTGAAATGGTTTATAAGGGAATTAGATGTTTGAAAAAGAGAAATATTAAAGATTATGGTGGGACAGTGGGATGAGACTGGGTGCAGATGAACACTACAGTGTAGACTTGATGAGCTCAGTGTCCTGTTTCTGTTTGTAACATTCTATGAAAGAGAAAGTAACAGACACGACTCAAATGAATTTCAATGTGGAGAAATGTGAGGTAATGCATTTTGGTAGAAAGAATGAGGGGCGGCAATATAGGCTACAATCTTAAGGGAGAGTGAAGGAACAGAGAGACCTGGGGGTCAGGTAAATGAATCCTTGAAGGTGGCAGGACAGGTAGATACAGGGCATATGGGACACTGGGCTTTATAAATAGGGGCATAGAGTAGAGTCAGGAGGTTATATAAACACTGGTTAGGCCTCAGTTAGAATACTGTGCCCAGTTCTGGGCACCACACTACAGGAAGGATGTTAAGGCATTGCAAAGTGTGCAGAGGAGATTTACAAGAATGGTACCAGGAATGAGGGACCGTGATGATGAGGAAAGGCTGGAGAGGTTAGGATTATTCTCATTGGAGCAGAGAAGGTTACGAGGACCTATAGAGGTCTTCAAAATCATGAGGGAATTTGATGGGTTAGAAAGGGAAAAACTGTTTCCACTGGTGGGTGTGTCGGTGACTCGAGGTCACAGATTCAAAATAGTCTCTAAAAGAAGCCGAGGGGAGAAGAAATGTTTTCACGCAGCGAGTTGTTCGAATCTGGAACGATTGCCTGAAGGGGCGGTGGAGGCCGATTCGATAACTACTTTTAAAAACGCGATGGACGGGTATTTGAGGAGGACGGGTCTGCGGGTTATGGGGAAAGGGCTGGGAGTGGGATTGACATTAATTGCTCTTTTCAAAGAGCCGCACAGACTCGATGGGCTGAATGGCTTCTTTTTGTGCTGTACGATTCTATGATTCTATGATTCTATGAAATGTGAAGGCACAAGTGAGTTTCCATTGGCAAAAAGGAAGCACAAATCATTTTCCACATGGAATTCCCTGTGGGAGTGGAAGAGGCTATTTGTTTCCCCAACTTGACCACCTTGTGTGGTTTTCTGCATTCCCTGGTAAGGGACTGAATAGTCAGAACAAGGGAGAGATGTAGTTAGGATATTGGGGGTGGGGGGTGGGGGGGGGAGATGGAATGGAGGGAATTATCCTGGGAGTGAGTCCTGGGAGTAAGTTTAATGAGTTTCTGTGCCTTTCTATGTATCTAAATGTACTGTAATTGGTTTTAAGGACAACCGATCTTTCCATCTGTCTCTTCAGTATCTCAACATTTTTTCAAGCAGTTTTTGGTGCCTGAGGTGGCTTTAAATATTCTTGGTTAATGAATTCTTTGGTTCGTATGATTCTTGTGCCTCTGCCTTACATTAGTCTTCATGATTGATGGTAGATTTCGTGAGATGTGCTGTATAAAAAATGCAGCATTGTGAGACTCGAACGAGGATTAATTAATTAAATAAACAATTGACCTGGTGATTAATGATTCACACTCCCCCAAGCCTCCAGCCCTCTTGATTCCAACCGTTTAATTGTCCAGGCCTTGGGACGTGCTTCTGATGTGAAAGGCGCTGTATAAATGTCATTTGTTGTTGGTGGTCGTGATGGAGAGCTGAGAGCTGGTGCTGTTTGACTCCCCAGGAAAGTGGGCGAGGACATCATTGTGCAGCTGGACGTAGGGTCCGAAGGCAACAACAATGACCAAGAGATTGAGGACGTGGTGTACTCGATGGCGAGGAGTGGCTCCTTTGGTCCTTACCAGTCATCAACCAGCGGCTTTCTGTTCCGGCGTCTGGGAACAGGTATGGAAAATCGCTTCCTGCCTTCTTTAATGTGGGATTGATTCTCTGTGATATTATTATGAGCATTAGTATTATGTGTTACCAGAGGACAAAAGGCTTCTTTTTGAGTTAAATTTGAATTAAGATGGCTTTTAATTAGAGAAATGGTCAGAGTTGCGTTAGATGCAATTCAACATTGTCAGAGCACCATCGTTCAGGTGAGGCTAAGGCTATGTCTCTATCTGCCTGTTCAAGTCCCACAACACTATTGGTAAAAGAAAGAGAGTTTCTCCTGATGTTTTGGCCAATAATATTCCAGACTAATCGATCATTCACCTTATCGCTGAAGGAAAAACAGCTTATAATAATAATAATCCTTGCATTTGATATAGTGCTTTTCACGTCGGGAGGACGTCCCAAAGCGCTTCACAGAACACACTGTAAAGTGAATTGACTGTATATTTGTGGGCGAACGCAGCAGCCAATTGCACACAGCAATGTCCCACAAACAGTCGTAGATTGAATATGACCAATTTATTATTGTTTTTGGTTTTGGAGGATTATTATTAGGCTCTGTGTGGAGTAAGGAAACTTGCCCAAGGTTTCACCCTCTGCCTGGAATTGAATCCAGGTGTCTCACTTGCAAAGCGAGTGCTCTAACCACTGAGCTACAGGACAAACACAGAAGCTACAGCTTCTGTGTTTGTCTACAAATTACTTTTGGTGACTTTGACATATTGCAACATAGGCTGCTATAAACATGCAAATTCTTTTACTTTATGTTCATATTAGTCTGTGTTAATGATTTACTTTCAGTCATTCTCAGTATTTAAATTATTCTGCTGTCATTTGGTTAGTATGGAAATAGAGAAGACTTTGGTCTGGCACAAAGCACTGAGGTTAAAGACATTCGGAGGTACAGGGAAAGAGATGATGTGGAGGGTGGAGAGGTCACTCAGCCGTATCACTTTGACACCATAAAGATATCACAAACTTGCAGCTGCTGTTCCAAACACAGTGCCTTCCAAGTCATTCATTTCTCTACCGTACTCTTATCCTCCCCACTCCACAACCCGCTGCCTCCGCTCGCCTGGCTCTGGCCTCCCGTTTGTCTCTCGTCCCCTCCTCTCCACCATCAGCGGCCGCGCTTTCAGCAACAACCCCCCAAAGCTTTGGAAATCTCTCCCTCAATCCCTCCATCTTGCCCTCTCCTTCCCCACTTGTAGATCACGACTGAAGACCTTCGTCTTTGACCGTGCTTACAGTCACCTCCTCCCTCCCCCGTCTCGGTGTCAGGCTCCGCCACTGTTAAGCGCTCCAAGACACCGCTCCGCATGTGTAAAAAGTTTTTGTTGTTGAAAGTAGCCTGGAACCTTACCCTGCCTCGGGCAGTCAGTCACTTCACACTAAGTTGGTACGCATTCCCACATCAGCAATGTGAAGTGTTTTGAGATGTCCTCCTGAAGTGAAAGGCGTTATATAAGTTGCATTGTAATGTTGTAAGTTAATCGACACAAGGACACGGGGAAAGTGCCATCAAGGGATGCTTCCTGCTTCCTACTGTGTGCAAGCCCAGAGGGTCAGACAGTGAGAGGACATTAGTGTCCATCCACACAGCTGGGAAGTCCGATCAATTGGAAAAAAAAGTGATAAATTGAGATAGTAACAACAAATTGAATTTATATAGCGCCTTTCATGCTGGGAGGATGTCCCCAGGTGCTTTATAAATGCAAGGGTTTGCACCCGCGCTGGGGGTTGGAATCAAGAGGGGTGGTGGGCGACGGGGATGGGAGGATGATCGAAAGCACGGTCAAAGAGGCGAGGGGCCTTGAAAGAGGCGAGGGAGAGGGCGAGGCAGAGGGGCTCCAGGATGGAGTTCTAGAAGGTGGGGCAGGGAGGCAGAAGGCTTGACCACCGATGGTGGAGCAGGTAGGGTGGTGGAGTGGAGCAGGCTAGTGCCTGCTGAGCGGAGGGAGTGGGAACGTTGAGAAGGTGGCAGTGGCACAGACAGATGCACCGATTTACAGGTGTACAGATTTCTGTTTGTCTCGCCTTGTATGTTCAACGTTCTCTGGTTCTGACTTTATTTTTGCTGTTTTACTTTCAGTGGATGAGGATCAGGAGGGTCAGTGCCAGAGCACGGAGTTTACCTGCAAGTCTGGAGACTGCATCCCCATTGCCTATTTCTGTGATGATCAGCCTGACTGCCTTGACATGTCTGATGAGGATGAGTGCGGTGAGACCTTTTGCCCAGCCCGAGTTAGGCTTTACTGCACAGACTGACGGGCGCATTTCCCAACATCATTCCATTCACTATTAACTACAAGTTAATACAACCTCTGGAACTCCAGCCCAGAGCCCCGCCTCCTCTCCCCCTCGCTCGCCTCCTTCAAACCCGTTTCAACACCTTCCTTTTTCGCCCGTGACTTCATTCATCCACTCTCCACCCCCTCCGGCCCCCCACCACCACTTGCCCTCCACCCCTCTCTGATCCCAACCCGCATCTCGGGTGCAAATCCCTCATTGTCTGGCGCCTTGGGATGTCCTTGCAACAATGAAAAGTGCTGTATAAATACAATTAGTTGTTGTTGGTGACACATCATGTAGGTTCTGTCTCTTGTCCAATTGGGGCATAACTGAAGGCTCCCCCCTTCCCCCCGCACCATACTTGTTATGTTAACTCCGGCCTCCTGTCTGTCCTTCGTTCCCTCCGCTGCACTATCGGTATCTGTGCCTTCAGCCACTACGCCCTGAAACTCTCTGACTCTCTCCCTCAATCCCTCCGCCTCCCCCTCACCCCTTTTCAAATCCCTCTTAAAGACCTTCCTTTTTGATTGTGCCTATGGTCACCTCCTCCCTCTCTCTCCTTCTGGCTCGGGGTCAGACTCCGCCAGTGTCAGGCACTCTGTGACGCTATCCCACGTGAAGGGCGCTATATAAATGCCAGTTGTTGCTGTTTTTAAAGAAAAGCCAGTTACAGATTAGCTTCTGTGAGCAACATTCACTGTATTTCTGGGAACTCTCAGCAGGTCAAGCAGCATCTATGGAGAAAAGAAAGCGAAGAAGAGTCCTGGACCTGCATCTGCAGTATTTTGCGTTTTATTCACTTTATTTCTGATCCATTTCATTCCTTTAAAGTGCTTTGAGATGTTTCTTTGTTGAGAACAGGCGTGGGCTGATTGGACATTTTGGTGGCGTTGAAAATAATTTCTCTCCGCAAAGACGTTTGAATTTTACTCTTTTTATTTTTTTTTCCCCTATTCGACGTGTTGTCTTTTTTAACACGATCACTGGCACAGGAACGACCCCGTACAGAGTGGGGATGTCGACGATCAGGCCAGCCGTTCCTACCGCCAGACCCATTCCCACCCGCACACAACTCCGCACCACCCCTGCCACGCAGACAAGGACCCTCACCCCGCGGCTTCCTGTCATGGCACCCACCACGGATCGGGCTTTGCCTCTGAGGCCCTGCTCCACAGACCAGGCCGTGTGCCAGAACGGCCAGTGCATCCCCAGGGATTACTTGTGCGACGGTGAGAAGGATTGTGAGGACGGCAGCGATGAACTGGACTGCGGTGAGTTTCTGCCATTTGCCTTTCATGAGGTTGAGGATCCGGTTGAAATGAAGTGAGGTTTTTACAGAATAATTTTCTCAAGATTTATTCTCCGATACATCTCCTCTTCACCCACAAAATACACAGTCAACTCGCTTTATGGTATATTCCGTGAAGCACTTTGAGACGGCTTGAAGGCCTGATAAGTCGATGTATCAGATGCAAATTATTATGATTGTTATTCTGCTCTATTCAAAATAACAATAAAAGGAAATTGTTATATTTGTACAGGGTGTCCACTAAGTCCTGTGACCCCCCCCACCCCACCCCCGGGTATTTTTTTCTACACTGACCAACAACTGAAACGTGGAAGAATGATGACAGTTGTACATAGAACCACAACAGCTTGTATTTATTTATACAGCACCCTTCACCCGGGGTAGTGTCCCGGAAAACTTCACAGGGTGGAGTCTGGCAACGAGCCAGGGGGAAAGGGGAGGGGGGAGGTGACCGTAAGCACGATCAAAACGATTAAGCAGGTCGGATAGGTAGGGAGGTGAGAGGGAATGAAGTGATTTGAAAGCCAGTGAACGGGTCTTGAAATCGATCTGTTCGGTGATTGGGAGCCAGTGGAGCCCGGCAAGGGCTGGGGTGATGGGGGGACAGAGTTTCTTTCGTGCAGGTGAGAATCCAGGTGGCGGAGTTTTGAATTAATTGGGTTTAGTGTATGGTGGAGCTGGGGAGACTAGTGAGGAGGGCATTGAGATTGTCCAGCAGGGAAGTGCCGAAGATCTGGACGAGGGTTTCAGCTGCGTCAGTTGTGAGTTCCGGACGGAGGTGGGCAATGTGACGGAGGTGAGAAAAACACAGCCCTGGTCAGGGAACGGATGTGGGGTAGAAAGGAAAGCTGGGGATCGAACCTGATGCTTAAGTTGCGTATGGGTTCACAGAGTCTGAGGGAGAGTCCGGGGAGGTTGAGGAGTTCAGACCCGTAGGAGAGAAGATGTTGACAGGAGCCAAAGATTATAGCTTGTGACTTGCCAACATTCAGCTGCAGGAAATTTGTGTTCATCCAGGCTGTGATGTCCGTCAGATAAGCTGAGAGGATATCAGTGGACTAGGAGTTGCACTGGTGGATGAGAAGTAGATTTGTGTGTCATCCGCTTACATGTGGAAGTTGACTCTTATGTCTGTGGGTGACATTGCTGAGAGAGAGCATGTAGATAAGGAACAGAAGGGGGCCAAGGATGGAGCCTTGGGGTACCCTGCAAGTGACCAGGCAGGGGTGAGAGGGAAATTCTTTGGTTGAGAAGAAGTGCTGGTGATTTGTACTAAATTGTATTCACTTACAAGTGTTTAACTGTATTTAGACTTCCAGAGGAAGAGGATGGGTGTGTGTGAGCGACATCATTTTCATGGCAGATAATAATCCATCATCTTGTTCTGTACGACATCTTCCGTAACATGGATAGAGTGACGAGCGAGTCACTGGGATCAGGATAGAGTGACGAGCGAGTCACTGGGATCAGGATAGAGTGACGAGCGAGTCACTGGGATCAGGATAGAGTGACGAGCGAGTCACTGGGATCAGGATAGAGTGACGAGCGAGTCACTGGGATCAGGATAGAGTGACGAGCGAGTCACTGGGATCAGGATAGAGTGACGAGCGAGTCACTGGGATCAGGCTAGAGTGACGAGCGAGTCACTGGGATCAGGATAGAGTGACGAGCGAGTCACTGGGATCAGGATAGAGTGACGAGCGAGTCACTGGGATCAGGATAGAGTGACGAGCGAGTCACTGGGATTAGGAATCGTTTCACTCGACTCGTTTGCAACAGAAAATAAAAATTAATTGTAAGAAAAAAAGCGGGTGGGGGGGTGTGTCGAGAGAGGTTGGGGGGGGTAACAGGACTATAAACACCCTGTTGATACATTGATCACATTGATCAGTAGGTGGAGGGGAGGGGATTAGTGAGTGTCGTTGGCTCTCCTGTCATGGGAGGGGGCAGACTGCTGTTGTTGTTGGGTGAGATTGGGTAGGTTTGGGTTCTTATGGTCTTCGCCATGTCCCCCACTGCAGGGCCTGAGCCTAGTGGACCTGGTGTCTGGGCTGATTGATGAAAAGTGCCCTATTCTATTTGACGATTGGCCAAAGCTTCACCCGCAGATAGAATCAAAGTAACTTATTGGATTAAGTGTTTTGAGATGCCTGATATGATGAGGTGCGAGGTGAAAAAAAGGGGATTATTATAATTTTTCTTCACTTTAACCTAACCACTTGATAACAATAATAATCCTTGCATTTGATACAGGGCCTTATCACGTTGTCGAGACGTCTCAAAGCGCTTCACAGGACACACTGTAAAGTGCAGTGACTGTGTATTTTCTGTTGAGATCGTATCTGAAAACGAGAGTTCAGGCGATTGTTTGCTGCCGTGTCGATGCCGTGTGCCCGCGCTCACCGCTCCTCCTTTTCCAGGAACCCAATCGCCGTGTGAGCCCAACGAGTTCAAGTGCAGAAACGGGCACTGCGCGCTGAAGCTGTGGCGCTGCGATGGCGATACCGACTGCGCGGATGGCTCGGATGAGGAATATTGCCGTAAGTCAGCCATTGCTGCCATTGTTACCGGCAGCCATCACTGCTCCTCAGCAATGGGAATGCTCCAGGAACCATCTGCTCCCATTTCCATTCCAACAATCTGGCTCTGGGGTTTCCTTGTGTAGGTGCATGTGTGGAATTCTAGGTACCAATAAGAGCTTTCAATAATCCTGCATTCATGAGGTAAATAGTCATCCAGGGAAGACCAGGCGGAATTTGGGGACAAATGGTCTTAAGTCTAAGAATGTGAGAAATTTTGGGACCGGATTACTCGACGACGTTCGGTCAGGCTCTGAGATCCGAATGTTCTCAACGCCTGATTGCGAGGGTCTGTGGCTTATTAGATGTTTGGCAGAGAACAGGATCGTAACATTCCACGCTTAGGCAATGGAGACCATTCCTAGACCACAGGGAATCATTTTTGTGTGCGTCCTGGGAGTATGTAAAGTTACTGTGAGATGGTAATGAAGTGCACGTTAGGAGCCTCCGATAGCTTCTGTACACATTCTGTGCAGCAATCTCCCCAAGGAGCCTGTGGTGAGGAAATTCAAGGCAGCTGTAAACGTTAACTGGCACATGTTTAACATTGATAAAAAAAACGTGTTCAGATCTGCAGTAAAGTTGCACATCGTTGAATTGGAGCCAAATGCTTTTCCAGCGCTCTGGGGCTCTATCCTGCACGAGGGGTGCTTTATAAATGCACGTTGTTGTTGCTGCCTCTGCTTTCCCTTAGGTCCTATATGTCTTCCAACTTGCAATGTGTTTTTTCTCATTCTCCCCATTAACTAACCTACCTTCAGCTTGAAATCTACCTTCCTCCTTTTGCTTTCTCTTTTTTCCCCTCCTCCTCCTCCTCTTCCCCTTCCTCCTCCTTCTTCTCCTCCTCCTCTGGCTGTAGTTCTCAGCTGTGTTAATGTGCATTTTTCTGCCTTTTCAGCTACTAAAGGGCCAGGAGACATGTGTGCTCCAGAGCAGTTTGTCTGCGTGTCTTCGCGCACCTGTATCCCAGCGAGTTACCAGTGTGACGAGGAACCTGACTGCCCAGACAGATCAGATGAATTTGGATGCAGTAAGTAACGTAGGCTACTGTGTGTCACACAGCAGAATTATTATCCTGTAGCTCAGTGGTTATAGCACTTGGCACCAGTGTTTGGGAGGGAGAGTCACACTTGTGGTCTTTCTTTACGGAAACGTGGAAAAATGCCATGTTCGTAACGTTAAAGATTAGAAAAGATGTATTTGAAAAGAGGAAAGAGTTGATTTATAACAATAATCCTTGCATTTGGTATAGCACCGTACCACATCAGGATAAGGACACCTCAAAGCGCTTCACAGGGTTTACCAGGAAATGGAGTGACTGTGTGTTTGTAGACAAACATGCCAGTAAAAAATCTCACACAGTAATGTCCCACAAACAGCTATGGAGTGAGCGACCAATTTTATTTAGGGGATCGTTAACCAGGACATTGGGAGTGAGAGAGAGAAACTCCCTTCTCTTTTCCAACAGCTCCGTAGGATTTTTAACATCCACCTGAACAGGCAGAGGGGACCTCGGGTTAACGACTCATCAGCGCATCACTGGAGCGTCATCTGAGACTATGGGATTCCAAGACCCGTGGGGTTTGAACCCACAACTGTCTGAGCTTAGAGACGAGAGAGGGCACTACCACTGAGCCAAATTGAGCCACGAGTTTCATCCAGTGTCCTGGCCAACAATCCCCCAGAATAAAAACTACATTCACTTCATGGCTGTTTGTGGAACTTTGCTGAGCATAATTCATTAGGTGCCTGGTTCCCCTACAAAATACAGTCATCAGCTTTTACAGTGAACTACTGTGAAGCAGTTTAAGGCGCTCCTTAGATATATGAAAGGCACTATACCAAACGCAAGGATTATTTATGATAACATTCAAGAGGACATTTGATAAGTACCGAAACGTTTTTAAGTATTTTCCACCTTAAAGTTTACAATGCTCTTACCCATTTTATAGCCAAGTAAATGATTGGATGTTGAAGGTTTACTGGGTTGGTGGTGCTGTGCGTGGGTAGAAATCCCAGTGCGTGAGGTGTTGTAATAGCTATAGTTTATAGCAGTGTACGTTACTGGGCAATAGCTCGCCTATGGGAGATAACACTCTCTGTACAGTGCATGGTGATGAAAACGAGAGAGAGAGACATGGCACCATCACCGATTGCACTCTCTCTCCCCGCAGCTTCTCCACAGGTTGTTACTCTCCCGGAGGAGACGGTCCAGACCACTCGAGGTGCTACGGTCACTCTTACCTGTGTGGCTACTGGGGTTCCCACTCCCATCATCACATGGAGGCTGAACTGGGGTCCCATTCCCGTTAGCAGCAGGTAATGTCAGTGTGGTGTAAAGTCGGAGGCTCTCAACACTAGCCTGTCGCAAGGCTCTTTTGGCTTCTTCCAAGCTTTGACAGCAGTGGTGGATTGAGTGCAGTTTAGCACAGACTGATCATGGCTGCTGCACATGCTGTCTGAGGAGCAGAGCTCCCTGAACAGCGCACAGACATTGCTAAGTCTGTGGGTTTGGATATTTTTAATTATTTTCCTGTTCCCAGAGTTGCTAATTAGAAGCAGACTTTCCCTGCTGCTGCCTTTGCCAGAGTTGATGCATTTGCTGTAGTTAAATGACTGGTATTATTTCACTTGTAGTTGATGTTTGTAGCAGTGAGTCGGTGTCCAACCACAAAGGCTGTCTCTGTGACTGTCTGTGACTATCTCAAACTTCCGCCCCATCCCCAACCTCCCCTTCCTCTCCAAAGTCCTGGAACGAGTTGTTGCTTCCCAGCTTCACTCCTTCCTCTCCCGCCACTCCCTTCACAAACCCCTCCAAATGGGGTTTCCGTGCCGCCCACAGCACAGAACCCACCCTGGTCAAAGTGACAAATGACATTCTGTCCATCTGGGACCAGGGCTCCCTCTGGCTCCTTGTCCTCCTTGACCTCTCTGCTGCCTCCGACACTGTCGACCACTCTATCCTCATCCACCATCTGTCCTCTCACGTCAGTCTTCATGGTTCTGCCCTTAAATGGTTCAAATCATACTTCTCACACTGTCTCCACTTCATCTCCACAAATCGTTTCTCCTTTAGCCCCCGCACCATCTCGTGCAGGGTCCCTCAGGACTCTGTCCTTGGTCCCCTTCTGGATGAGAGCTAACGTTTTTCAGTTGAACGTCAACAAGACTGAGGTTCTCCTGATTGGCTCCCATCAGCTCTTCCACACCTCAGGCGCTGACAGTAACACCATCCATGGTTGCACACTCCACCTTGCTAAGCCAGTCCAGAACCTTGGGGTCTTGTTTGACCCTCAACTATCCTTTCTACCCCACATCTGTGCCATGACCCGCTCTGCTTTCCCCCACCTCCGCAACATCACCTGGCTCCGACACTGTCTCACTCTGCTTACACACTTTCATTCATCGAGGCTTGACTATGCAAACTCCCTGCTTGTCGGCCTCCCCAACTATTCCCTCCATAGGCTGCAGATCATCCAGAACTCTGCAGCCCGTGTCCTCTCCCGCACCAGGCTCCGCGACCCTATCACCCCCATCCTCACCCAACTCCACTGGCTTCCCATCACACAGAGGATACAGTTCAAGATCCTGGTCCTCACTTTCAAAGCGCTCCATGGCCTCGCTCCCCTCTACCTCTGCGACCTCCTAATCCCCTATCATCCTGCTTGCTCCTTCCACTCAGTGAGCTGCAGCGTGCATATCCCTTGCCTCGCTTGCCCTATTATTGGTGGACGGGCCTTCTGCCACTCTGCCCCCACCCTTTGGAACTCCATCCCGCAGTCCCTCCAGCTCGCCCCCTCCCTTGCCTCCTTCAAGACCCGTCTCAAGACCCTCCTCTTTGACCATGCTTTCGATCACCCTGCTTCCTCCCTTGCCCTCCACCCTCCCTGATCCCAACTTCCAGCTTGGGTCACGTCCAGCGCCTTGGGACATCCTCCCAACATGGAAGGTGCTATACAAATGTAATTTTGTTGTTGTTGTTGTGACTGTAGGAGACTGCGTGTGTGACTGTGTGTGTCAGTGAGACTGTGTGTGGGACCTGAGGCACTGAATTCTCCTGCAGGTGTGGTTCTGTACACACAAGCTTTGCTCTAATGTAGACTTGGTTATAAACAGAAGAAGGGTTCTATCCCAAGGACCTGGTTGCCCTGAGCACAGAGTGTAGAACACATTTCAAGTTTTATTCTTGTGATGCTTCGCTTTTGGTCGGGAAATAAATATTAAAACCAGGATCTGAGGCAGGATCATTTCAGAGACTTGAAACCCTGTGCATTGCCAGATACAGCAGCCGAGAGACTGATCGGGTAAAATCATCTGATTTCTTGGCTCTCCAGAACCTCGATGACCAGTCAGAATGGCCAGGGGACCCTGATCATCAGGGATGTGAAAGAGTCTGATCAAGGAGCGTACACGTGTGAGGCCATCAATGCCAAAGGGATGATCTTTGCTATTCCGGATGCCGTGCTCATTTTGAGATCCAACTCTGGTGAGTGCTGTAACAAGGAGACACTCAGCCGGTTCTGGGAATGTTAAACCGTATTTGTTAGTATCTATAATGACACTGTACTATTGAGATGTTAAACTCAGATCTGTCCACCAGTTCATATGAATGTTAAAGATTGTGTGACACGTTTTCAAAAGAGAAGGGATTTAGATATTTGAATGTGTTAAACTTTTATATTAATCTGAAGCGTTGAGCCTGAGGCAGGCAGGACTTTTAATGTATTATTTTCCCTCTCAGGAAACTGTCCAGGAGGTCACTTCAGTGTGGACGGCAGCCAGCGCTGCATTCCTTGTTTCTGCTTTGGGGTTACCAAGATCTGTGATGCCACAGGCCGTTACCAGACACAGATCAGCCTCCGCTTCAATGAGAACGATGATTTTAAGGGTAAGTGCTTGCCACTTCAGTCAGAAACAATGTCACCATCTCATGGGCTGCCTAAGAGCACGAAACGTGAAACAAGAAAATGGCCCCTGAAACCTGCTCCTCTTTCTCCACCAACACCATCCAAGTCCTGTCCAGTTGGGGACTTTTTCCAAGTTTGCCCCTGGTGCTTCCTGATCCCCATAAGATAATTAAGCGCTAACTCAACAAACTCCACTTCGCAAGCCTGCCTCTTCAACATTCCCATCATTATCATCATTTCCTTTTAAATTTCCACGAAATACACAGTCTACACTTACAGCATATTCTGTGAAGCGCCTTGAGACATCTTAACAACATGTTAAGGCAAATGCAAGGATGATTATTATTATTTTACAATAACTTCTGGGAAAACTTTGTCTTCCCATTCCCTTCTTGAACCCCTCCAATCGGGCTTCAGTTCCACCCATAGCACAGAACCCACCCTGGTCAAAGTTACAAATGACATTCTGTCCATCTGCGACCAGGGCTCCCTCTGCCTCCTCGTCCTCCTTGACCTCTCTGCTGCCCTTGATACTTTTGATCACGCTATCCTCATCCACCACCTCTCCTCTCACCTCAACCTTCACGGCGCAGTCCTTGACTGGTTCAGGTCGTACCTCTCATACCGCCTACCTTTAATCTCCTCAAATGGCTTCTCCTCTAGCCCCCGCACCCTCTTCTGTGGTGTTCCTCAGGGCTCTGTCCTTGGTCCCCTCCTCAGCAACATCAATATGCTCCCTCTTGGTGACATCATCCGCAGACATGGGTTCAACTTCCACATGTATGACACCCAACTCTACCTCTCTGCCTCCACCCTTAACTCCAGGACCCACTGCTGTCCTGACAGAATGTCTGTCAGACATCAAGTCCTGGGTGAGAGCAAACTTTCTTCAGTTGAACGTCAACAAGACCGAGGCTCTCCTGATTGGCTCCCGTCAGCGCCTCCTCACCTCATCCATGGTTGCACACTCCACCTTGCTAAGCCAGTCCGGAACCTTGGGGTCTTGTTTGATCCTCAACTATCCTTTCTATCCCACATCTGCACCATCACCTGCTCTGCCTTCCCCCATCTCCTCAACATCGCCCGGCTCCACCACTGTCTCACACCTCAGGCCGCCGAAACCCTCATACACCCCTTCATTATATCGAGGCTTGAAGATGCAAACTCACTGCTTGTTGGCCTCCCCAACTCCTCCCTCCACCGGCTGGAGATTATCCAGAACTCTGCAGCCCATGTCCTCTCCCGCATTAGGCTCTGTGACCCTATCACCCCCATCCTCGCCCGCCTGCTTCATGTCCCCCACCTTGTTCATCCCACTATCGGCGGGCTGGCCTTCCGCCACTCTGCCCCCACCCTCTGAAACTCCATCCCGCATTCCCTCCGTCTCACCCCCTCCCTCGCCACCTTCAAGACCCACCTCACGATCCTTCTCTTCGACCGTGCTTTCGATCTCCCTGCTTCCCCCCTGCCCTCCCCCCTCCCCCACCCCGACCCCCAGCTCGGGTCCGTAACTCTTGTCTGTCCAGCGCCTTGGGACTTCCTCCTGACGTGAAAGGCGCTTTACAAATATAATTTTGTTGTTGTTTTCTTGCCTTTTTTGCCTGTTTTTTTTTCTTTGAAAAGAGTCGATACACGTGGCAGGAATCTATCTTTTTTCTTCTTGTTTGTGTTGGATTTTGGTGTTTGTTTTTGTTTTGGGAGAGAGGAAGAGCTAAGTGATTGGAATTGTGTATAATCAGACGCAGCGCTAGTTGGTTAGATACACAGTTTGCCATTCTGTGGTGTCCCTACACTCTAATTTGACTCTAATTTGTGTTCGTCATTTATAGCTGTGTAAACAAATGGCCAGATTTAGCTGACACTGATTTAGAAGCCGTTTGCAAATGCTAATTATGTTCCTGAACTATTTAACACACTGTGACCTGTTGGATCTGTGAACAACATCAAAGCAGCATTTGATGATAATCTTCCTGTTCACAGTGGGAGTTTATGAGTTAGCCAATGTAAGCAAGTGTCAGGTCTCAGTTTGGCTTTTACCCGTGCAGTGCTGGAGGAACATTGCTGAAGCTGCCATCTTTCGGGTGAGGTGTTAAACTTGAGACACTTTCCACCTGTTGAGGTGGATTTAAAGATCCTGTGATGATATAGGAAAAGAGGAGGAGGTTTCTCCCTCTATCCCTACCCACAATTCTCCAGATAAAGTGTCCATTCAGTTCATGGCCACTTGTGCGATCACTTTTTTTTAAAAAGAATGCACTTTTTTTGACTGCTAAGTTTGCCTGGAAAACAGTCAGTAAGCTTGGCAGTAATTGTAAGTTTGTTCTTTCTCTAAAACGTGAATGTGTGTTGCAGCAATCTTAGATCAAAAGAAGCAGCTAAGCTCTGTTTCTTTTAATGTCTACTTATCAACAATAATAATCCTTACTTTTGGGATAGAGCCTTTCACATCGGGAGGATGTCTCAAAGTACTTTGTAGGATAATAATAGTAATCGTTGCACTTGACGTAGCACATTTTCATATCATTGAGACATCTCAAAGCGCTTCACAGAATATATTGTAAAGTGGATTGACTGTATTTTGTGAGTGAAATGCCCATAGATATACTGTCAAATGGAGCGACTTTCTTGTGGCTTACCTGTGCATATAAGCATATCTATATTATATACGCACACACCCCCGTGCGCGCACACACAAAGTCTCCATACCTTGTCTTCAGTAAGTATCTGAGGAACCATTTGATTGCATTCAGTTTCACTGTAATTTCTCTCCTAGGTGTGAGTGTAACTGTACCGGCCCAGTCTGGGACTCCACCTCTCTCTACCTCACAGATCCTCGTGGACACAGACTCGGCAGAGCTCCAGCTAGTCGATCTCTCCAGGCGTTTTCTGAACCATGACTCCTTTTGGACTCTTCCCAGACAGTTTCTAGGAAATAAGGTGAGGTGTGAAGACTTGTTGTGGCAGAACATTTGTGCTAATCCTAAACATATTCCGTTCCTTAATTATGTTTTATGTTCTATCAATTTGATTGATAATTGTGATCCCAAACCGACTGCAGAATGTCAGTTCCCACCGCACCATCACCTTGAATTCTCGGGTGTAGTGGTAGCACGAAATAAATAATTAATTCCTATCAAATCAATAATTGATATCAACAACAACAAATGACATTTACACGGAACCTTTCATGTCGGGAGGACGTCCCAGGGCCCTGGGCGGTCAAGGAGCTGGGGGTGGGATCGGGAGGGAGGGAGGGTGACCGAAGGCGTGGTCGAAGAAGAGGCAGAAGAGAGTCGGAAACCTTCACACTCAACCACTTTGCGGAGGGGAAGGTCTTTAATCCCACACCTGTTAATGTGTCTGTCACTCAAACCAAGATAGTTTATGGGAAACTGCTGTGCGCAATTGGCTGCTGCATTTCACACACAAAATACATAGTCAGTCCAGTTTATTCTGTGAAGCACTTTGAGACGACTCAACAACGCGATAAGGCGCTATGTCAAAAGCAAGGATTATTATTACTATTATTCTACATATCACATCTTCTCCCATTCTGGTTTTAGCCTCTGCCTGGCAATGCAGCTCCACTTTTGATAAAGCAGAGACGAAACCCGAGTTTTCTTCTGCCTCAAATCAGGATTTCGATTTACTCTGATGCAAATCTGAATTGTTTCACGTTATAACTAAGGGGAAATCTGTTTGTAACTTGAACAAAATATCTGAATGACATTTACCATAGTGAGACGCTGAGGATTGACTGAATAGTCTGATTAAATGATGAAAAGATTGGGAAACATTTTTATATCTTATAGGTGGAGTAGATTCTTAATGTATCTAGATTCCAGCTGCAAATTAGCACGCTCTTGCAACAATTTTTGTGGGTTTCAGATTAAACATTTTTTTTGACTTTCCGTCCTCCACCCCTTCCTGATCCAAACCCCCAGTTCGGGTCCAAATCCCTGACTGTCCAGCACCTTGGGACATCCTCCCGACGTGAAAGGCGCTGTGTAAATCACATTTGTTGTTGTTTTGTTGTTTTTGTTTCGCTGCGAACTGGACATTCCCACATTGACAGTCCTTTTCTCATTACAAATATTTCGCTCAGGTTGATTCGTACGGTGGCTTTCTGCGCTACAAGATCCGATACAGTTTAGGCCGGGGACAGAGTGAGCCCGAAAACAAGGCTGACGTCATCATCGTAGGAAATGGGAAAAAGCTGATCTACAAAGTGAAGAGACCGAGCCAGCCCAGCGTCACTAACCAGAAGGAAATCCAGTTCCTCGAGGTAAGTAGAGTCGCTTCACTTTCCTTTCCTTTTGCTTTCAGTTCATGGTGGGTTTGGAGAAGTGCTCAGAAGTGGTGATTGGCACCTGTTTTTTTTTTTGTTTTTTTTTGCAGGATAACTGGCAGCACGCGTCTGGGGGGGCTGTAACTCGTGAGGACCTCATGATGGCTTTGGTCAATTTGGAAAAATTAATGATCCGAGCAAAGTACGATAACAGGATGGCAAGTGTGGGCCTCAGTGACGTGGTCATGGACACCACCACCGCGGGATTCACCCGTCTGGGGAAAGCTCAGATGGTGGAAGAATGCAGGTGAGAGGCAGAGTGTCTGAAGATTCAGCACTTTTATTGGTATTGGATGATTAACCAGTAAACTGTTAGGCCAACAGAGAGACTGTGAGGAGAGGCTGGGAGCAAGGGTATTCTCTGGGAGGATGAGATCAAATGGGCAGAAGGGTTTTCTTCATCCAAACCTCTCTTGTGATCTTGTGAAATCTTTTGAACGTTGTGATCTTGTGAACACAAGGAGCGAAACCTTAGCACATTTCCGTACTCCACGCGCCTCTGTTTAGCAGTAAGTAGGAACTGCTTTGTTAGTCGATTTGCGGATCGCTTTCTGGGGGTAATGAATAAAATAATAATTTGGTCACTTAATCCACGACTGTTTGCGGGACGCTGCTGTGCGCAATTGGCTGCCGCGTTTTGCCCACAAAATAAACAGTCAATTCACTTTACAGTATATTCTGTGAAGCGCTTTCAGACATCTCAACGACGAGATAAGGCTATGTATGAAATGCAAGGATTATTGTTTTATGAAAACATTCTTTTGTCTTTGTACAATCAAGGTGAAGCCAAATGAGCTGCTCTGTAGACGAGTAACGGTGTGATTCCTGTCCTTCTAGGTGCCCTACCGGTTACACAGGTCTGTCATGTGAGACGTGTGCCGCTGGATTTAACCGTATCCAGACCAGCCCGTACCTCGGAACATGCAATGGCTGCAACTGCAACAGCCATGCCAGCACATGTGACAAGGTTACAGGCCATTGCTTGGTAAGATCCTTCACTGTTATTGCTGGAAATTTCCCTTTCCCGGAGTCAAACGTTAGATTTGTAGAACATCAGAGCACACAGAGCAATCAGGCCATTCATCCCATCAACTCTTTGCTGGTATTTTCCTCAACTTGAGCCTATGTTTCCTTGTGATTTGCAGAGCTGCCAACACAACACGGAAGGTTCACGATGTGACAAATGCCGAGCTGGTTATTTTGGGAACCCGACTCTCGGGACCCCCAGTGACTGTATGCCGTGTCCCTGCCCCTTTACGGGCCCCAGCAGGAGGTGTGTATCACTGTGCTCACAGACCACTTTCCAAAACACAGACATGAACAGGTGATGTTTCTGAAAATTATCACATTGAATGGGTTCAGAAACTCACAGAATTCCAGTCTGGTTTCCCGTGTGAACATCCCGCTTGGTGGGTCAGCACAACGGCTGTTCACAAAGCCTCATTTCAAAGTATTAAAGTATGCGTGTGTCTGTGTGTGTGTCTGTGTGTGTATCTGTGTGTGTGTCCCTGTGTGTCTGTATGTGTCTGTGTGTGGGTGTGGGGTGGGGGAGGGGGGGGCAGACCTAAAATCAATGGATAATTATTGCTTGAAATGTTGATGTTTCTTAACATCCAATGAAATTGGTTGTGAAACATTTCAAGTGTTACCCCAAAGCAACGCTTAAACCCTTCTTTGGGCGGAGTGATAGGGTGCAGTTCACGTTGTGTGTGAGTAAGTGTGTGTGTGTGAGTATCTATATGTGTGTGTATGTGCGTTGGTGTATGTGTTTACGACGGCTAAATTGATTTGGTAACATTTACAGAACAATCAGAAAACCATTATTTGAGGAACAATTTTGTTACATTTGCAAAAAATAGGCACAATCTCTCCTTTTTTAGAAACCAAACTTTGCTGGTTCCTGGTGAGGGTCGACTACTGTCTGACCTACCTGTTGTCCGCCCTTGTCCTTGTTCACACTCCCCTCACACTCTCATCAGTCAGTTCCTGGGGAGGGAGTGGGAACCCTGACTAACAGTTATGTTCCCAACCAAGAGAATGAGAGAATGTAAGCGGTGGAATAGAACTGATGGTTTAGTGATGATGTGAGACAGTGGATTCAATACTGGATACCGAAATGCTGGACTAGTCACAATAGTGTGTGAAATGTTGTTGTGAGAGCTGTCATGTTTATGGTCCATGTGATGTTTTATCACATAGAATGGACTGGAGGTGGGAGGAAGGAGCCATTCTCTTTCCCTATCTCCTCATTTCCCCTCCTCCATTCCCTCCCCTCCCCACTCCATCCTCCCCCCCCCCCCCCGTCCCCAATGCTATTCTCAAGTGATGTTGGAGAAGTGAAGCCCATAATATTTCAGAGCAGCGAAAGAGAGAGTCTGGGTCTCCAGCTATTGGGTGTGAGATCAGATGGGACACCCGGTGAATGAAGGTGACAATGTAAATCAAATGGAAGGATTATGTATATTTTACACAGGGGGTCACTCAGTGGATTACACTATGGGTTACACAGTGGGTGACAGAGAGTTCTGATGTGAGTAGCTCTGACGTCTGCTTCTCCCCAGGTTTTCTAACACCTGTTTCCTGGATACTGATAAGCGTCCTACCTGTGATGCCTGTGCTGAAGGCTACACTGGCCGTAGATGTGAAAAGTGGGTACAGTATTGAAAGCCTGTGTTTTTCTAATAAACCATGCATGACCCTCGACTGTTTGCGGGACACTGCTGTGCGCAATTGGCTGCCGCGTTTCAATTCACAGTCAACTCACTTTCCAGTGTATTCTGTGAAGCGCTTTGAGACGTCTCGAAGGCACAATGAGGCGTTATATCAAATTCAAGGATTATTATTATTATGGGCAGTCACTGAACTTGGCTGGCGGACCTTCTGCCAATCTGCCTCCACCCTCTGGAACTCCAGCCCACAGTCCCTCTGCCTCTCCCCCTCCCTCACTTCCTTCAAGACCCTCCTCTTCGACCGTGGCTTCGGTCCTTCCCACTCTTCTCTCCACCCTCCCCGACCCCCAGCTCAGGTCAGAAACACTGGATTGTCCAGCAACTTGGGACATCCTCCCGATGTGAAAGGCGCTATACAAATGTAATTTTGTTGTTGTTGCACTTCTCAGTGAATGCTGCGAAGCTCTTTGTGTCATCCTGTCATCAGGAAAGCCTCAATAACAAATGCATAATTATTATTTCTGGACGTGTTAAGCTCCGAGGTGCTACCCACATGAAGGGTGCTATGCAAGCTATTGGTGTTGTGTTGAGTGGCGGCTTTGTTTCGGGGTTAACCTTTGGCTTTGCTTCCATGTAGGTGTGCCAGTGGCTACGAGGGGAACCCCATGATTGAAGGTGGAGGCTGCAAACAAGTTGGTGAGTGCTTGTGAAGAACAATCTTTTTGATGGCCCTAGTTTTGAATTGACCTCTGTATTAATTTATATTCATAGCAACTTTCACCCTTCATCTGCTGGAGTCTCTGGATAGAGAACAGGGCCAGGAACCAGGGTTGATAATTGTCTCTTCTCCTCGCTGCCCCCCCCCCCCCCCTCTTCAGAACCCCATGTTTACCCAGAGTCTTGAAAGCTGAAGTCCTTTAGAACAGGGTAGCGAGTATGGACACATTCTATGATCCTCATTGGGTCACAGGATGTGTCCATACTTTCTATTCTCTACTCTCCAGATATCACTCCATCGCCAACCTCTCTTTCCTCTCCAAGGCCCTGGAACGAGTCGTTGCTTCTACACTTTCCTCTCCCGCCACTCCCTCGACGAACCAACTAGGTTCCAACTAGGTTTCTGTGCTGCCCACAGCACGGAAACAGCTCTGGTCAAAGTCATGAACGACATTCTGTTCATCTGCGCCCAGGGACTCTCTCTGCCTCCTTGTCCTCCTCAACGTATCTGTTGCCTCCAACGCTGTTGACCATTCTATCCTCCTCCACCGCCTCTCCTCTCTTCACAGACCTGCCCTTACCTGATTCAACTCCTACCTCTCCCACCATCTTCACTTTGTCACCACTAATGGCTCCTCCTCCAGCCCCCGCACTATCATTTATGGTGTTCCTCAGGTTTCTGTCCTTGTTCCCCTCCTTTTCAACATCTACATGCTTTCCCTTGGTGACATCATCCGTAGACATGGGTCAACTTCCACATGTATGCAGATGACACCCAACTCTACCTCTCTGCCTCCACTCGACTCCAGGACCCACTGCTGTCCTGGCAGACTGGCTGTCAGACTAGTCCTGGAGGAGAGCTAACTTTCTCCAGTTGAATATTAATAAGACCGACGCCCTCCTGTTTGGCTCCTGTCAGCACCTCCGTACCTCGGGCGCTAACAGCATCTCCCTCCATGGATGCACATAGCACCTCACGGAGCTAAAACAGAATCTTGGCGTTATGTTCAACCCTCAACTGTCCTTCATTCCCCACATCCGTGCCGTGGAGTCCAGTAGCTTAGTAGTTAGAGCACTCACCTCGCAAGCGAGAGGACGTGGGTTTGATTCCTGGCTGGCAGGATGAAACGGTAGGCAAGTTTCCTTACTCCATGCGCCTCTATTCACCTAGCAGTTAGTAGGACCCCGGTTGTTAGTCGATTGGCAGATCGCTTTTCCGGGGGCAATAATCCCTTCCGAAAAATAAATAAATGACTGCTTGTGGGACACTGCTGTGCGCAATTAGCTGCTGGGTTTAGCCCACAAAATATACAATCAATTCACTTTACAATATATTCTGTGTAACTCTTTGAGACGTCTCGAAGATGTGATAAGGCGCTTATTATACGTCTGACCTGTATAAATCATATAATCGCCTGAGTTGTACATCTGCCCAAGTCCCGTTGAATTTCCTGTTAAATCCACTTTAATGGATCTGCATGAGTTGTATTAAGAAGCTCATAACCCCATGACTGCACTTACCTGTATGGTTGGCCAACAAAATCCATGTTCTTGATTGAACATTTCTTGGTTTATGCCATAAATCAAGTACATTCAATCAAGAAAAATCTGGAAAGGCATTGCTGGAAAATGGACTCACCTAAACTAGTGCAGATGTTTGGTGGGCTACTTCTTGACATCCTCATGACCACTTCTGGCCATGGTTTAGCCACTTGCTCTAGAACATCTTAAGGATGTCATTGATTGTCTTTACATTGGGTCTATCTGCAAAATGTCACTGCATTGTTAAAATTGTCCTTTAATACAGGTTTTCTTACAAAATGTGATGACAAAGGAACTGACCCCAAGGCTTCTATTGATGGCTCTTGTCAGTGTAAGGTATGTTCCAGGAGCAAGTGTTAGACCTCATTATAACCTCATTACGTTACAGTACTGTAACATGAGAGAGTTCACTGAAAGTCTTTGTGGTTGTGGGCCAATATTAATTGTTTGCAATATGATCTTGTGGGAAATGTGGGAGTCGATTCGAACAATACAGCCAAAGCAAATGTTAGTTTTGCTGTACGTTGCTCTGGGATCATGTACAGTATTTTCTTGTATGTTCAGCCGCATTTTGTGTGATTGACTTCTATTTATACTTGTGAATTTTGGCACCATTGTTTTGAATAGTGAAGGGAGTTTCTTTCTCTCTCTCGGTGTCCTGACCAACAATCCCCCAATATAATCGGTTACTCACTCCATGGGTGTTTGAGGGACGCTGCTGTGTGCAACTGGCTGGCACGATTCACCCACAAAATACACAGTCAAAAAACACTTTGTAGTATATCTTATGAAGGAAGCTGTTTGAGACATCTTAACAACGTGCTAAGGAGCTATATCAAATGATATTGGATTATTATTATTTGTAGTCTGTGACGTGGACTAAGATGAATAGTTTGTTCTCACTGACTGAAATATTTTGCTGTCGACTGAATTGGTTGGCATGCAAGATTTCTGTGGAATTTTTCATTGGGTAATACCTGATCCCAAATCATCGTTTAGTCCCAAACATGTTGTTTTTAATAAATAGTAAATGATATTGTACCATTTATCTTCAATCCATTTAAAGTCCTAAATCATGAATAGAAATCATAAATAGAACAAATCTGTGCCTTCCGTATTACACTTTTCTTTGGGATTGACTGGGGAATAGTCCAAATCTGCTCCATTTGTTGAATAGAGCTGAATGCCTGACCTGTACACTTATTGCTCTCTCTATTCTGTTTGGGCCTTTTTGCAGCTGAATGTTGTTGGAAGACTGTGTAATAAATGCTCACCAGGATCGTTTCACTTGGATGCTGCCAATGTTGCTGGGTGCCTGACGTGCTTCTGCATGGGCGTCACACAACAGTGTGCGAGCTCCACATGGCACAGAGACCAGGTTAGTCCACAACCAGCAAAGCAAGAGCTTGGCCCAGTATAAACCAGCAGGGATGGGATGCTCCATCCCCTTGTGGAGAGGACGTGTTTCCCAGAAATCGTCCTCTGTTCCTCATGACCTTGCTTTGATGGCTTGATGATTGAAGCCTTAACCCAACCAGGTTTTATCAATTTCTCAAAATGCTTCTACTTTAAAAGTGTTTCGAGACAAAACAATAAAACAACCCCCATCGAGCTCTGATTTTCTGTTCACCTTTGAAGAATAATGCATTGAGGATCTGGGACGCTACCCCACATGAAGGGCACTACGTAAATGCAATTTGTTGTTGTTGTTGACCCAATGCCATTCACGCTGGTGAATGGTCTATGTCTTCAAGTTAGAGGACACTGAAAACTTACCAAAAATAGAGGGGACGCTGGAGGCTAATGTTAGTGAGGAACTTAAAGAATCAACATCAGTGAAGCAATAGTACTAGAGAAATTGATAGGATTAAAAAACTATAAATCCCCTGGACCTGATGACCTGCATCCTAAGGTGTTGAATAAGGCGGCTGCAGGGACAGTGGATGCTTTGTTTTTGATCTTCCAAAATTCCTTGTATTCTGGAATGGTTCCCATTGATTGGAAGATCACAAATGTAACGCCGATCTTTAAGAAGGGTGGGAGAGAGAAGATGGGGGACTATAGACCAGTTAGTCTGACATCGGTGGTGGGGAAAATTCTAGTGTCCTTAATTACGGACGTCGTCGTCGGGTACTTAGAAAATCATAACATGATTAGGCAGTCAACATGGCTTTACAAAAGGGCAATCATGTTTATCAACAACAACAAGATTCCATTTATAGAGCGCCTTTCACGTCAGGAGGACGTCCCAAGGCGCTGTACAGTTGGGTCAGGACCCGAGCAGGGGGGAAATGCTCAGGGTGAGGGGAGGGAAAGGAGGGAGCGAGGAGGGGGTGGAGAGTCGAGAGGGGAGCCGAAGGAAGGCGAGAGTAAGCTCAAATCTTATAAAGTTTTTTTGAGGATGTAACTAGCAGGTTAGATAGGGGGAACCAGCAGATGTGGTGTATTTGGATTTCCAGAAGGCATTCAACAAAGTGCTACATAATAGGTTGTTGGATAAGATTAGAGCCCATGGAATGAAAGGTAATATATTAGCATGGATTGGAGAGTCGCTAACAGGAAGAAAACAGAGAGTAGGGATAAACGGGTCCTTCTCAGATTGGCAGGATGTGACTAGTGGGGTGCCACAAGGATCAGTGCTTGGGCCTCAAATATTTACAGTTTATATCAATGATTTAGATGAGGAAATAGAACTTAACATAACTAAATTCGCGGACGATACGAAAATAGGTGGGAGAGTAAGCTGTGAGGATGACACACAAAGAATGCAAAGGGAAATAGACAGGTGAGGTGAGTGGGCAAGAAGGTGGCAGATGGAGTATAACGTGGGGAAGTGTGAAGTTATTCACCTAGGTAGTAAAAATAGAAAAGCGGATTATTTTCTAGAGGGGGAAAGACGAGGCAATGTTAGTGTTCAGAGGGATTTGGGTGTCCTTGTACACCAGTCACAGAAAGTTAGTATGCAGGTACAGCAAGCAACTAGGAAGGATAATGCCATGTTGGCGATCGTTGCAAAAGGATTAGAGTACAAGAGTAGGAAAGTCTTGCTGCAGTTGTATAAGGTCTTGGTGAGACCGCACCTAGAATATTGTGTGCAGTTTTGGTCTCCTTATTTAAGAAAGGACACACAACAACAACAACAACAAGATTCCATTTATAAAGCGCCTTTCACGTCAGGAGGACGTCCCAAGACGTCCCACACTCGCCTTAGAGGGAGTGCAGCGTAGATTCACTAAGTTGGTTCCTGGGATGAAGGGGTTGACCTTCAATGGAGAGGTTGAGTAAACTAGGCCTATATTCTCTAGAATATAGAAGAATTAGAGGTGATCTTATAGAAACATATAAGATTCTTAAGGGTCTTGACAGGGTAGATGCCATGAGACTGTTTCCCCTGGTTGGAGAATCTAAAACTAGGGGTCACAGTCTCAGGATTAAGGGTCAGCCTTTTCGAACTGAGTTGAGGAAACATTTCTTCACTCAGAGGGTAGTGATTTTGTGGAATTCTCTATCCCAGAGGCTGTGGATGCTCAGTCCTTGATAGATTTCTAAAGGATAGAGGGATTAAAGGATATGGGGATAGGGCAGGGAAATGGAATTAGGTTAGAAAATCAGCCATGATCTTATTAAATGGTGGGGCAGGCTCAAGGGGCTGAATGGCCTACTTCTGCTCCGACGTCTTATGATCTTATGGTCTCAAAAGGAAGAAGGTTTGGGATGGTAGTTAATGATTGGAAAGATTGGAATCTTGTTGGTTACTGGTCAACCTACGTTTTTTCTTGTTAACTGGAAATAATGTCTTTCTTCAAAGCCGGAGTGTGTGACAAGCTTTTTCTTTTGACCTCACACAGGCAGCACATCACCCAGTTTGCTTTGTTTGCAATCCTATCTTGTCTGTGATTTGTCTGTGCTTTTGTCCACAATATGGCTTGATTTCCATTTATCTCAGGAAACATGTTTTACCAGCCTGAACCAAGGCCAGGAAATCTTCCACTGATGCTCTTTTGTGTTCTGTGAAGATAAAGACGGGATGTTTGCCAATGCAAGCAACCTCTCATCTTGTTGGCATCACCACTTGAGACATTAAAGAGATTAGATTAAGCTCCTTGAATGAATCTCATGTTACTCCTTAGATCTATTCATTCCACTTGAACCCTGGCAACACACTGGACTGCTGAGTGGCTGTTTTCCTCTGTGTGATCTACCAAAGGGGAATCTTGGCTTTAACTAAACCTAATTGCCTCTATCTGATAGTACAACAGTTTGGATTAGCTGTCCCTGTGTTTTTCAGTTCATGGTTTGAAATGATCTTCTACCTAATGTTTTTGATATATTTAATCTGTTCCTATTGTACTCTCTGACTTATTCCTGTGTTCACTCTGTTATCAACGTTAGCAAAGCTGAGGCTATGCTGCTCAGCTCCTACTAGCACTTCCCACCTCAGTTGCTCTGTGAATAACCTCAATGTTTTGCCCCCTCCCCAGCCCCTCCAACTCTCCTTCAAGCCTTTCACCCAGGCTCTGGCAAAGTCCACATTCTTCCATCTCTGCAACATTGTCCGCCTCTGCCAATACCTCTCCCTCAACATAGGCAAAATCCTCATAGAACCATAGAAATTTACAGCACAGAAGCAGGTCATATACCTCGTTGCCTCTTGAAAACTAACATGGATTCTAACTTGCCCCCTGCACCTGGAAAGAAGTTGCACATCCCAACCACCCTTTGCAAAAAAATCCTTCTAAACATTGAAATTTTCTTGTTGGTGGTTAGTAGGAGGGAAATTGACTCGAAACCCATCGAATGACAAAAAGCTGCTTGTTATGCTGTCAGAAATGGGGCTTCAAGGAATAATCTGAGGGCTGGCAGCTCATGTGTCCTCAACTTCACGAAGTCTGCACCGTCTGATTCATGTCTGAGGGTCACAAGTCGCCTCTGCGGATCCCTATGTGATGGGAAAGTGAGGAAGCGATCTGAGAGATGGCGATTACAATAAAGCATTGCTCTCTGGCTCGGAGGTGAAAGTTGTTTTGGGGGTGAATCAGTTTATTGAGGAAAATTGTCATGGGACTGGTAGAAAATGCTGAAATTAACCAATGTTACGAGCAAGCTTATCCGTGGCCAACAATAAGGAGAATTTGTGTTTAATAAGGAGAAATAAATGTTTCATTGGGCTTCATTTCAGATGGTGTCAGTGTTTCATTCTGTTGCTTCTTTCCTTCAAAGGTCCAGGCTGGTTTTGAGCGTGATCATACTTTATACAGGCTGACAAACATGGCCAATACACTGCTGCTGGCAGAAGGGATTCGGATCAGCGGACTGAACGAGTTGGCTTTTGGAGGCTTCGATGCCATCCCTCAGGATGTCCTCTACTGGGTGCTGCCAGATCGGTTTAAAGGGGATAAGGTAATTGTGTCCAAGCTTGGGGTCATCTACTGTTACTTGATTATAGAGAATAAAAGATGAGTCCTGCAGTTCAGTGGTTAGCACGCTCACCTCGCGAGCGAGAGCACCCAGGTTCGATTCCCACACAGGGCGAAACCTTAGCAAGTTTCCTGACTCCTTTGTTTATCCAGCAGTAAGTAGTAACCCGGTTGTTAGTCGATTGGTGGATTGTTTTCCGGGGGTAATAATCCCTTAAAAAAAAAATTTGGCCCTCAATCCTCTAAGGTTTGTGGGACGCCGCTGTGCGTAATTGGCTGCCGTGTTTCACCCACAAAGTATACAGTTGCTCCACTTTACAGTATATTCTGTGAATCGCTTTGAGACATCTTAACGATGTGATAAGGCGCTATCTCAAATACAAGGATTATTATTAAAATTAATGTATTTTTTGCTGTATAGTTGTAAATGTAATTGAGGGCTTCTGCCATAACAACAAAGGTGAGAGTGAAGCTTGAATGTTTTACAAGGAAACAATCCAAACTGGGTTTGAACGCTCAGTAAAGATAAGACTTTTATTTACATCGTTAATATACACTTCTGTTCAAATCCAGTGCAACTTGTTTTCCATTTGAAGTAATTTTGTGACCGGATGATGTGAGAATGCAGATGTTTGATTAGCTTCCCGAATATCTCCACGTATTGAGACGTTTAGTGACCTTGTGGCTGATCCAGACTGTTTGGTTTGGGATTGTATTTGATGCTTATCACAGAACATGTTCCCAGGCCGTTGGTTTTGTTCTGAACCCCTTTGTTTACCAATCCATGTGCAATTTCCAGGTCACGTCCTACGGAGGGGAACTGCGCTACATTATTCTGCATCGTGTGTCTCCTGGGAGTCCCCCAATTATTGACCGGCCAGATGTTGTTCTACAAGGCAACAACATCTTCCTTGAGTACTATTCGACCAGCAGGCCCAAACCTGGTGTCCCGACAACATTCACCGTCCCGCTCAGAGAAGTAGGTGATCATTGTGTTTCTCCCTATCCTAGCAGGTGCTGAAACAGTTGCTGGGTTGGACGATTCTATGATAATACTTTTCCAAATCTCTAGTAAGGAATTATGGAGGACTGCTTTTATTCCCAATAGACCTTCAGGAAAATCTTGCTTGTTTTTCAGTCGGGTTGGCGACGGACAAATGGTCAGCCTTGTTCACGGGAGCACCTACTGATGGCTTTGGCTCAAATTGACCTCCTGATGATTCGAGCAACTTTTGCTGAGAAGATGTTGGAAACCAGGTACTGATTGAGAGCTTGTGTTTGCGGGATTGCTCATTCCAGGGATGGATGACAACAAACTCAATCTTGAATTACTTTAGGAATAAGATGGCTTATACTTGTTTTAGTAGATAATATCTTGGGATACACTATATAGTTTAGAACATGATGTGTGCATGTGATTGCCAAGGTGGAGGAAGGTGAACTGGACGGACATTGGTCTTCTTTCATCTCGCAATTCTTATGTTCTTATATTCTTAAGATAATCATTGCACTGGGAGATTAATTTACAGCTGGTTAATTGCAGAATTTCCAAGATCCGTATGGATATTGCTGTCCCACATTATACTGGACAGGAGCAAGCAGTGGAGGTGGAGGAGTGTATCTGCCCACAGGGTTACAGAGGACCATCCTGCCAGGTAACAGATCAGCTGTATAGTCACTGCCATTAGAAATATTAACATGCAAAGCTGGGAAGCAGAATTGCAAGCATATCAGTCCAACAATTCTCTGGCATTCCAAAATCTGCCTATCAAAGAAGACCTTTCTCATACAGAACAACTAGACGCACTGTGTGCTTCACATAAGAATGTGCATTTTTAGTGCCACCATTTACATCAAAACATCTTGAAGAGCTTCAAAATAATTACTGTCAAAACTGTTTTTGGATGCAAATTCTTGTATGCAAATGTGCAGGGTTATGGGGTAAGAGTGGGGGAGTCGGACTGATTGAGTAGCTCTTTGAAAGAGCTGGCACAGGCTCGATGGGCCAAATGGCCTCACTCTCTGCTTTAAAATTCTATGAAATGTGAAGGTCATTTGTGCAAGGTCTCAAGGATGGCCTTGAGCTGAGCCGAAACATTTCACCCGAAGGACGGTATCTCCACCTGGACACTGTATTGTTGGAGATGCCTGACACAGGGCTGGAGCTCACAACTTGCTACCAACTGTATCAAGCAAACACAATTATAAAAATCTCCCCTTTATATAAAAAAAATCACCAAATTTAAGAAATAGTTTTTATTCTGGTTCTTTTTGAATGTATGTTTCAAAGTTGCATTTTGTTTTGTTTTTAAATTGTATTGTTGAGCTGAACTTTTAAGCTGTTTTTCTCTGCCGACAGAATTGTGCATCTGGCTACACCCGAACTGCAGGAGGACTTTATTTGGGAACGTGTGAACCCTGTAACTGTTTTGGCCACTCCAATGAGTGTGATGAAGATACTGGGAAGTGTCGGGTATGGACAGCTCCGTAAATGCACTCACAGCTCTAAATACCAATGCCACTTCTTCACAGCTCGTCTAACTGAATAGCTAACGCATAAATAAGCCACTCATCCAGCAGAATTACTTTACACCCTCGTCAAACTTTGAATAATTACAAGCTTAGAAAGATGTATTTAATCCCATTTCATCTGGTCTGCAAGATGTTTCTAAGCGCCTCCTATAATATAGATGCTTTTCAAGTGTCAGTTAGCTTATCTCAATTCGCATGCGCTCACACACCCGCACACAATTGCACGTCTGATGGATGTTGACTGACTTGTTACAAGATAAGTTGGCTTATGAATTTGGCATCTCGACACCTTAAAAACCACTTGATGAGCTGCCAATAGCCGAGGAATTTGGGATAGGAAAGGATTTGCCCCAGCACTGCTCCCCATGGTGGGATAGACTGCCAACACTCGTACATACATCACTGTGGCCACTTTCAGCAAAGGATTAGAGGTGGAGGTTTAACTGAAGCAAACATGCCAACCAATGTGGTTCCACCCACAACATCAAATGAGTTTATTGGAATGGGGCGGGGAGGGGAAAGAGATTTGGGTGATATAAATAAATACACACCTGGATAACCAGGAGCAAAACATCTTTTTATAAAAAAAGACACAATAATAGAGAAATTAAACTAAATTGGAAGTTGCTGGAACGTAAAGAAGGCGAGAGCTCAATACTATTAGCAATTTTTTAGGATTTAATCCAAAATACAATTGCTGTCCTCTCAACTCGCACAGGATTTTATTCAATGTTCAAAAACCATTTCTGCATTCACGAAGAAGAGCCTTGTGCACAACTTTGGACACAACAAAAATAAGGAGAAGACTTAATACTGGGGCACAATGAACGTTAACTAACCGCACACATAACCAAAGCAAATCTGTGCAGCTGCTTAAAAATATCTTTATAAATTTTCTATCTGTTTAGTACTTTTTAGCTTCGCCTATTGATGTGCTGTGTGTGAGGGATGCTATATAAATGCCTGTTGGTGTGCTGTTTATTCGATTACAAGCTTGTTAAACTGATGTCCATTATTTTTGTTGTGTGGCTGAAGAGCTGCCAAGACAACACCGAGGGCAAACACTGCGAGCGCTGTCGGCCAGGCTTCTACGGAGATGCCAAAGGTCGAACACATTCCGACTGCCAAGTCTGTCCTTGTCCAGGGACCACAGCCTCAAACCAGTAAGTATCCCCCGATCAGAACCCATCCTGCACTTCTTTTTGGTTGTAATATTCCGCATTCATTCAACTTCTAGATGAATAATAATAATAATCCTTGCATTTGATACAGCGCCTTATCACATCTTCGAGACGTCTCAAAGCGCTGCACAGGATACACTGTAAAGTGAATTGACTGAATATTTTGTGGGTGAAACGTGGCAGCCAATTGTGCACAGCAGCGTCACACACACAGTCGTGGATTGAGTGACCAAATTATTATTATTTTTAGTAATGTCCAAATAGTGGGAAATACTGAGAGTCTGATGCCCTCGAAAGCTTCACTGCAACTTTCTCAACCTTCAGCTGCAATGTGAAAGCCTCCTGCTGTTCACTGGATTGCTTCTCATCTCATTTGTACTTGACAACTAGCTTTACTTGGTGCTTAAACGAGTATTGAACTTTTTTTTTTGATCATTAATTCAATAGGGAACTAGTCTATCTGGCTGATTATTGAGATATACAGACACATCCCCTTCACTGTGAGCAGAAGCCCAGAGGGATCTATGGTTCTGCAAGAGATTCTGGGGAAAAGCAGGAGAATGGGCTTAAACTGTTGGCTCTTGAGACAGCGAGAACAGACACAATGAGCCAAATGGCTTCCCCTGTGCTGCTAATTTCTCTGCTTCCAAATGTACAGTGCTTCATAGTGGAGAGCTATGATGCGGTTATACCTTACGTTTGGACAGTTGATTGTAGATTTTTAAATCAGTTTCTTTGGGATGAAATAACAAATGTTTTCTTTTTATCCAGATTTTCCCCGACATGTTTCTTGGATTCTGATGGACGCCCAACGTGTGATAATTGCCACAGCGGATATGGGGGAAGAAACTGCGAAAGGTACAGTCACTCAGTCTCTCCTCGTTCTTTTATTACAGTGGTTAGTTTTCTATGCAGTGTTTTCCTAAATGAATGAAATGAGTATTTCCCGTGTGGAGTTTAGCTCCGAAACCTACTCATTTCATGTAGTAAGTGTCGCTGCTTTCAGAGTGGTGCCATTCCCTCCCCAATCAGCGGATCAATCAGATAAACTGCCTCTTCACCAGTTTGTCATCTTCAGTTTATCTGCACCAGCTGAATTCATATTTCAGTCGAGTATCTTTGCATTCGGATCTGTTGCCGAATGTTGTATGGATTCACTGTGAAAGGATAAAACTGGTAGCATGTCAAACCAAAACACAGTCAATCATCCAGGAAATCTATCCTCACCCAATTGGTGTAGTGTCCCAGTGAGGAAGTTCAATTTGACCAAGTCTGCTTCATTTTGCGTGACCAGTCTAACAGTAAGCTTCTTGTGTTGCCGTGGCAGATGACTCATTAAACCCAATATTCAAAATGATTCAAATCAAAACGTGAAGCTTGTGTCTCATTGCCAAACTTCTGCTGCTCCATCTCGTCAATGACCTGGGCGTCCTACAAGCTAACACTCTAGAGGGCATGGGTGTCATTGATGGAACGACTTCCATCAATGGAACAGGCCATTAATAGGAAAAGCAGCATAACATTGATGATAAAAAGCCCACGTTTTCAACCGCCTACTTTGAATAATGAACGCATCTGCTGTTGGCATTTAGAAGCTGGTTGGACATTGACTTTGGTCATTTGATTTAAAAAGCAACAATGTAGACGTTTAAATTTGCAAACCAAACCAGTATCTGTTGTACAACTCAATGGGACAACTTCCCCAGTCCTCGGCCACTTCACCTATTAGAGCCTCAATATGTCAACCCATGTACATCGGGGATAAAACACCCTTCAGGTTGAAGTCAAATGATTCTGCCAAATGCAGGTGCATAAACGCCAAAGGGCAAACACAATTGGCCTGGAAATTGATTGATCAGTATTAATGTGGCGTTTTCTTTGGAAATAATGTTCTTTAATTGTAAAATGTCCAGATCCATTAATTCATTTCTGCAACCTGTATTTACCCACCAAACAAAAGCAACACTATGTTGAAATTCAGCCAAGCAGACCTGGGGACATGACACCTTCGATCTCTGTTGAAAGCAGATAATTTCTATTTAGTTTTTTTATCCAAAACTTCATACAATGCCCTAAGCATGCAGGGACAGTGCATGAATATAGCAATATTATCAGAAAGTGACTATATCATTTACACAGGGAAATGAAAGTATATCATTGGCTGTAGTTTAAACCAGGCAGGAGAATAATTAGAATGGTAATGATTACAATCTTGTGCAGAAAATGGGTCTCGTGCATCATAGCTCATCTAAAGCTACTTTGGAAAGTTACTCTGAATTTTTGCCTTGATACTTTGAGAACTTTCAAACAACTTTATGATTAATGATTGGACTTTAAAGCAAAATCCTCATTTCCGCCCCTGGTATTGGGTGTGGATTAACGTAGCCGGTAAATCACGTGTTGTTCACTTAATTATTTTCATGGAGTTTCCTGTCTGCGAAGATCTTCACGACTATTCAGGGCAACTCTTTTGGCAAGAGGATATCATTATTGTCTGGCATTCAAAATTCAAACATAGTGCAGATTGCTTGGAAATGTCCCTGAAATTATTATGTCGACTCACACTTAGAAATGTATGTATGATGGCCACTAATGTTGGCCAACAACATTCTCCCTGTTGTGGTGTATTGTAGCAGTGCAGTAATATTATTATTAAAGAGTAGGGAGTGGGAATAATTTCAAAGATCCAGCACAGGAAAGATGGCTCAAATGGCCTCTTTCTGTGCTGTACAATTCTGTGATTCTATAAGTATCCATCTTGGAAGGTGATGAGGATCTTCTGCATACTTTGCGTCCAGTTGAAGTAGAAGCTAAAGTTTAAATAAAGCGAGTTACTAAAATAAATAACCGTATAATAAATGGACTGCCGGGAGCAGAGGCTGGAAGGATAGAATATCCTGGAATAATTTGAATCACAATAATAATGGTTGGTATATTCCCCATTCACTGCCATACAGGTTAACAATAGAGAAGTTATCTGTTATCCAGTAGTTGGATACGAGGTCTCGAAGTGGGTGGAGGTGGGTCACTAGATGGGGCTCTCACACATCATCGACAAGAGGAAAGAGCGATAGGACTGTGGTGTTATTGAGTCAAATTGAAAATGAAGCCAGAGGCATGACAGTGCATCTCGAAATAAAAATATAAACTTTAATAATGTTTAAACTGTGGTAAATATCGATCTTTTCTCTTGTCTTTATTGAGAATGCGCGAGATATCACCTAGCGACAGTGGACCGGTTGGAGATCTGTTGGAGGTTTAGACATTTAAATGCATCAATATTTACTAATGTCATTGTTTCATAATTTGAATAAGTTCATAGAACTTATAAGTTTCTTTGAGGGAGGAAAACAACATTTTGGCCAAAAAGGGGTAATGTCTCAGTTCTGAACCATATTTTCTTTGCCAATTTGGGGGCAGGGGGAGGGGGTGTCTGGGTTGCAGCAAACAGCTGAACGCTGGATATTGTAGTTGATTAAGATACTCAAGGCCTTTCAGCTTCTGAAAAAAATCCCCGCACTCGTTGGGCTTTGTGGAAAGGCTGTGTGATGCTTTGGTTGCGGGAGTGCTCCGCTAGTTTGGGGCAGTAGTTCTTAAGATGCTTGTGGTGGGCTTGGAATCTTTCACGTCTTCATAACTGTACTGTAGGCTCTGCCTGGCAGTGGCATTTGTCCCACATCTTTTATTTGGAAACTTTGACGCAGCAAAACCCAGATGTGTTGAGATTCAGTCTGAAGTTAGTTCGGATCTGGAAGGCTTTGTTTTGCACAAAGTATCATCTAACATTGCTTCTTCAGCTCTGACTTTAGACATCCAAAGTTTGATTTCTTTGTAGTAAAAGGATTTTCCCCCCTCCTCCTTGTTTCATCCACCCTTACTCCACCCGCCTCTGTTTACCTAGCAGTAAGTAGGAACCCGGTTGTTAGTCGATTGGCGGATCGCTTTTCCAGGAGGTAATAATCCCTCCAATAAAAATATATGGTCATTCAGTCAACGACTGTTTGTTGGACACTGTTGTACACTGCCTCGTTTCGCCCACAAATAATACGGTCAGTTCACTTCACAGTATATTCTGTGAAATGCTTTTGAAACGTCTCAACGATGTGATAAGATATATATCAAATGCAAGGATTATTATTCATGCCCACTCACCCCCACCACCCACCACCACTCTTCCATCCACTTGCAATTAGTGTCTAACCCGTATCAGAAAGTTGTCATTCAGCTGTGGTCAGGCGAAGCAGTCTTGCTGTTTGCTTCTCCTGTGCGGGTCTGAAAGACTTGGTTGAAAGGCAAATGTGAGTCGCTGGCCTGGGCTCAAGACAGCAGCATTTAATGGGGGAGAATTTTCATGAATGTAAATAGTTATTTGGATATTGCTTCTGAAGCATTTGATTTGAAAGGATTTTCTTCCTTGCCAGCATGTGCAAAGTGATACTATTTCAAAGTTCAGCTCATGCGTGAGAGTGGGTCTGTCTGTCTGTGGAGTTTGGAGCTTGATTCTATCTGCAGTAATCACTGATTTGTTTGGTCTTCTTTCGTAAAGAGCAGTGGTTAGATGTGAGAGCTGGAGCGCTGGCTACCGCAAAGCTCCACCATCGGCAATCAGGCCTTAAGCCTCTCTGCCCCCACCCTTTAGAACTCCATCCCACTGTCCCTTTGCCTCCTTTAAAGCCCATCTCAAGATCTTTCTATTTGACTTTGTCTTTGGTCACCCTCCTAACCCTACCCTCCCTGATCTCCACCCCTCCTGATCCCAACCCACAGCTCAGGTCCAAATCCCTGACTGTCCAGCAGCTTGGGACATCCACTTGATGTGAAAGCACTTTGTAAATGTCATTTGTTGTTGTTGTTGGTGGTGGTGCCTGTGCTGAGCACATCCGAATATTGCAATAAAGCTCTAGGGAAGCGAGTCATGGCCACACAAGCTTTCTATTACCCTTTGCATGTGAGCGCAGGGATGCAGTGGGAAGGCTGGCTGTTCGGTTCTTATTGTGCAGTGCCACGGTTTCACCCCTGATTTTATACAACAACTGTGTTATGACAAAGTTACTCGGCAGCCTGTGTATCAGTCCTTTCTCTGTATTGTGCAAGTTCCCTCTGAGTGAAGCTCCACTGATGAGAATATAAACACGACAACAGGTAATCCCGATGCCTTATTGTGTAACAAAGAGATGCATTCATCACCGTCCTTTGCACTACCTGACTTCAACAATAACCTGCTCATGTTTCCTCCCTCCCTTCTTGATCTTTACAGAGACTTGAGAAGCACTGTATAGAAAACTCTTAAGTGTTTTATTGGTCCTTAAACCCTATACCTAACTTAGACTGCCCAGAACATAATAACTGTCACAACATTAAGGAATAGAAAATGCCCCGACACTAAGCTATGACATTAGCAGCTTTACCCAAAGTTAGTTAACATAGAAAAAACAATCATGACCTGGAGGTGAGGCTCTCAGGTCAGCCACACGAGTCGAAAAGCTTCCCCGAGTTCAGTTTCTTTGTATAAAAGTGTGNTTTTTTTCTCCCCTTTTTTTATTTCTGAGGTAATTTAAATCCATTTGTTCAAGATACTTTCAGTCAAGTGTATTATCGGTTGAAAATGTTGTTTTTAAAAAATGTAAATCTGCTTAAAACATCGAGTAATTTGGGTGTGAAGTGCATCTCTAGTGCATCTTTCCAACGGTGTATTTTAATTTGGAGATTTGTTAAATAATATATATATATAATCCTTGCATTTGATAAAGCGCCTTATCACATCTTCAAAACGTCTCAAAGCCCTTCACAGGATATATTGTAAAGTGAATTAGCTGTATAGTTTGTGGGTGAAACGCGGCAGCCAGTTTCATTGTTGA